AACGGAACCTTGTTGAGCATTTATAGATCATTAAACATGACGTGATCGGTAATGGTTCGAAAAAGAGAAAAAAAATATTTCATATTATGAAATGTATAATATATGATGACTATATACGGCCTGAAATATCTTGTCTATATTGGTCACATATCGTGCTGCTACTGAGAAAACCAAACTATACCTGATGATATTCCATCGTGTTTGTTTGCTACATCGTACGCGTTTGTCACTCATCGCAAATAGTTGCCATTGGCTATCAACAATGGCCGATTTCATCTTTTGTATCGTTTTCAGCGTAGTGTACAATCGACTCGGAGTTAACTGAATAACGTTATTTATTTCCATTTAGATGTGTGTCATTTTTCAAACATATTATTATTATTATTCTGCTTATTTCGTATTTGTTTTCCGTGGGTATATTATATACGTTATGTAGTATGTATCTACAGACTATAATGCACTAAACGAAACGGTTACTAAAGAAAAAAATAATAATAAAAAACATTAGGAATTATAACGGTATAATATTGTTCAAGTCCGAGGACACCAACCTTGAATATCTGTTAATTTATAGAATGCATAACAAAACATTTTCCTACTGGTCTCGCAATAGGTTATAAAGTCGTTGTATTTTTAAATAAATTTTCAACTCAATACCCGCAATCGGATGACTGTTTAGATACGTCTGAATGGTGATAATAGTAATTATTGCACGTCAAAATACACGAGGAACAATGTTACTTGGTTTGTAAACTGTATTACAGTATTGTCGTATTCGTCAAAATTAAATTAATTTCAAATATTCAATGATTAAACGCAGAAAGCGAAACGTATTTATATTTGATTCTGAAATTCAAATTATATGATAGGTACAATATTTAACATGTAAGAACATTTTAATTGTATGTTTATCATTAGGCATCACTACATTTCACTTTTCAGATCCGGAAATGTACAATTATTTCATTAATGACAGATGGCAGTACTTAAAATGAAAACAATCATATTGATAAGTATATATTTTTATGAAACTCTGATTTTAATGACTACATTAAAAACCGTTCGACAACTCAAAAAATGTGTCTTATACAGATAATACAGAAATAAACGTATTATCTAACGCCTATTTCAATAATATATATCTTTTTAAACTATTTTATTTCCATAATTTATTCCATTATCTTAAAATTATTATTATTATTATTATTATTGAATATGTTTTTCAAATATAGATATCCTAATTGAGATTTATATAATACATATACAGTCAAGTCGCGATAACTCGAACCTCAATATCTCAAAAAACTTGACAATTCGAATTGTGTTTTATTCCCCTAGAAAATTCTACCCCTATAATTTAGTTAGATATTTCGAATAATACATATTTCGAAGTGAAATTTTATCCTCCTTCAACTTCGAGTTTTTGCGACTTGACTGTATTAAAGATTTATGTAATAAAGATTAATTATTAATTAGTATACTATTTTATTTAGATTATTTTAATTATTTTTAACATTAATGATTGACAACAACCGTATGTGCAAAAAGAATGGAGCTTGGAAGGGATAAGCCCCTAAATATTTTCATACCCCCTCCAGATTAAGAATAATAAATCTTAAAATTTCGTGTCTGAAATTAACATAAAATTTTTATCGAGTCTCAACACATGAAATAATTATTAAGTACAACATTAGCAATTCTTGTTATTCACAATCCTCGAATTAATGTGCATGTATTCGTATTATTAATATAAATTACTGCGGATTTTTTTCGGAGGGAAACAATGAGGGCTAAAATTTAAGATGAACCTATAGTGGTGAATATTAACAAATCTAATCTATTTGTAAACTAGTAGATGGAGGCATAGTCCCTACAAGCTTGTGTTATTTTGATACTTGTAACCCCCTAAAATGTAAGCTCTAGTTTAGCTTACGACAATAACGTTCAGTTTTGTTAAAATACAGTAGTATTAAAAATACTATATTATACAGAATATTACATTGAATTAATTTAACAGTCAACAATTTAATATATGACGATATAATTTAGAATTCTATATAATGTTTCTTTATTTAATTGAAATTAATTTAATAATATTGATATTAGGTATGAAATATTTTTATTATTATTTAAGTATGTATTATGGTAGTCTGTAGCGCCTGGCCCATTTTACAATTTTATGTCACATATTATTTACATAATATGCTTGTGAAGTTGTGAATACAATTTTATTAACATTTTAAAAATAACTCTATCGACTCCATTATTAACCATAGGTACTTATATTGTCTGAAAAAATGACAGGTATTGTAGGTATTTACAAGTATATTATAGGTTCACTGTAAAGCGTTCGATAAAATTATTATAATCAGTTACGCACACCTTTGGGTAGAATAGAATTACTTATATATGTATTGAATACGACATACAATGATTTTAAATATTATTATGCCGTACTTAACAGTAACATATTTTAAATGTTTACTAATAGTGGCCGAATATAAATAATTATAATATTTTATTATAATTTGATGCTCTTGGTCGTACTTAGTGGTCTGACAACTTTCTCCATTGAAAATAAACGACTCTGAATATTATAATACGTAAACAATCACTAATTTTTTGTTGTTTAGTTATTTTTTTTTCTTACATTTAGCCCACATTATTATTGTATCGCCTTATTATTCCGGTTCATTTAATTGGCTTTAATTCTGCTTACATATAGCATATAAATCGACTAAACTCGTATAAAGACGGTTCCGTGACTACTAGAATCAGAACGGATAATTGATACGTTAACAAGAAGTGGTCATCAATAAGTCTAAGTGAAAGTGTGGCAGGCCACTAATGGAAAATGACATTGGATAAGATCGTATTCGAAGAAATGCAACTTCTAAAATTGATACCATTACAACTATCATCGTTTCATTTTCGATTTGATTGTCATTTAAACTCTTTTTAAGTATACCATTATGTCTCACTAAAATATAAAACAAATCAATTAAAAATAAAATAATTTAATGCCAATGAAATTCAAAAACTGTTTAAACTTTAATACAAAATAATTTAAATTAAATTATCACTCATTAATAAATAGTTAAGTATATATATTTTCACTTAAACCTTCTTATTTGCCGTTTTTCTGTTTTTAATTTTCCTGACAACCCAATCCATCGATTAAACCGTAAACGGTGTCGAGAAAAAGTTAAAATAAAATAAATTAATATGATCAATGTACATATTTGAATACATATACTCCTTCCACAGAGAGTTCTATCACGTATGGCCTCCATCCTCTGATATTTTTCATGTATTTGTAAATTATTTTATTATTATATATTTACAATCTAGTTTTGCAATAACATAGATTATTTGTTTTCTTAAAAATAAAGTATAAAAATACCAAACTCGTTCATTACAGGTATAAAACAAAAAAATTAATTAATTATCTTATTGTAGTATTATAAATACTTAATTTCATCTTCAAAACGCTGTTAATTGTTATATTTTAATTTGATGAAATGTCTAATGAAACACAATAAATAAACAACTTCACTGCAATAAATTGAAAAAAACCAAGATAGACGTAATTTTCAATTTCAAATGTTATGAGTGTTAAAGAAACGGCTTATTGTTAAATGGGATATAACGAGATCATCAGCTTGTTTGTCACATGACACATCAATAATATTTTGAAATTATTTTTTCTCAAATACTATGTACGAATTTTCTCTTTTTTTACTTTGAAACTATGTTCAAATAAAATCTATTAGATAATATTACTGTTATAATGTCATAAAAATATTTTAAGAAACTTGTATTCTCATCATAGTTTAATTATAATATCCCCAACGTACAATTAAATATTAGATCAAAATAGATATAATTTTTGTAAAAATAACATAACAATTATTACAAATATATAATATGTAATTAGTTATTACCCTAAAATGCTTAAAAAACATTTTTTAATGAAATAAAATGTGAACTGATATTCATAATGTCAATTTTTTTTGTTGTAACGTTATTATGGTATTCAAAAATATTTTAGTTACAAATGTATTTATGAGAAAAATCACATGTATTTTTATAACTTTTGAATTGTATTGTTAATTTAGAACTTTTACATTATGCTTCAGATAAAATATTCCGCTATAAATATGTTATTTAACACTTTAATGGCAATATTTTATGTAGAATATATATAGTTAACCGAAATAAAAATAAAAATAAATTTCATACAATTATTCTCAAAGCTACAAATTATAGATTGTTAATATTCTTGGTCTATGTTAAATACCAAATGAATAATTTAAATCGATAATATGTTACTTTATTTTTATTATTATTATAACCTTCCTTTTTTTGTTATTTTATTGTTAAATAATAAATTTATATTTAATATAGAACTATTATTGTTTGCATGCTATTTTTTTTTTGTCGTAAATAACTTTTCGGGTAAATTTAAATTGAACATACTTATTTTATACTTAATAATTCTACGTCAATCCGTATAATTATAGTATCATGAATTAATCTGTTTCAAATAGTGTATGGCATATTTGAAGGACTACCAGGAAAAACGATAACAGTTAATATTCCTAAATCGTTTAATAATACAATTTTAAAGTTTCAACACTCAAAAAACTTATAACTAATATTTGATAAAATTGATAAAAAAAAATTTTATTTACTTTTTAAAATAAATGACAAAATAATATAATGATATTTTTCTTTTTTAACTATTATCGTTTTTTTTTCGTAGCGCTTCATTTCCATAAACTCAAATAATTATCTGACAACTATGTCCTATAGTAATATCGAACCTAAGTATTAAAAAATGTTGTTTCTCTTTGTTATAAATCTAAAGCCAGAAGGAATTAGGTCATTAAAATGATTTTCTAAATATTATAATATTCATGTATAAATAAAACAATAAAACAAATTTTATGAAAATATAAACTTCACTTAAGCGGATCATACTTAATTGCTAATTTTACCTGGGGAAAAGTCGATCACAGTTCAATCGCTGCCATCCATGAGTCGATTCCTTGATGAAATGCTCTAGAGCTCTCTCGACAGGAAACTCTCCCATCATTAATCGTAAGCCCAAGCTGCAAAATAATAACCATGATATGAGCAAAATATTCATCACTTTATGTGAAAAATATGATCTGCAAACATTATAACAAACCAAAATACATTTAAATTTTGAATACATCCATAAAAATATATTAAGAAACAAACTGTGATTTAACTGTTTAATAATCACTTATGCCCTTTAAAATATTTAAATCAAAATGTGCAACAGATTTTTTTTCTTTTAATTTACATAATTAAGCAATAAACATCTTGCGACTTTCAAACCTAATCACAATATAATTAATTACATGATAGTTTGAATGTTGAATCCTTTTATTGTGAAATTATAAGTGATATTTACATAACAGGTACTTTTTAATCGAAAAATGAAAACGCAGTAAATAAATGTATCAAACATTTATTTACAAGTAATATAGTTTTATAGTTTTTTTTTTTCTAGCTTTATCGGTTGAATGTTTACATTTATTTAACTGTATTTATATTTATTTTTCGTACAAAAAAATACATCAATTACCTAGTTTATAGCAGAAAATTTATCATTAAAATTCTAAATAAATATTAACAGTTCATTAGTTGGCAAAATTCTCTCCTGAATATGATTATGGCCACTATTTAAAAGAATGAAATATACTGTTTCTGGATAAAATAATTTAGGTTAAATTGTTCGACCATTTGGATTGAATGACCGTGGCCGAGAATATTAGTTCAGCATCAAAACCCATTTAAATCTCACAAATCCCATTACACGTATTTGCCTCTTATCATTATGTCTAAAAACTAAGCTCTATATTAGAAGTGTTTCCTCTCCGGCGATTGAACGTGAGATTTTTAAGTGCCCTTAATACCGGTCTAAAATCGTGCCACTCATTAAGGCATATTCGTACACCGAGAACATCTTTCTAAAAAAAATACGGATCTAAACACAATAAAGTCGCATCCCATCACGATTTATACTCCAGGTCTATACATGGCTACATCATTGATCTATACTCAACTATCAACAAAGGTACAACAGTTATTTTATTTCAATCGCCAACAGATACTTCACACAAGTTAGTTGCACATTTTTACAGTCGAATTATGTTTTTAAAAGATTTTGATCGTTTATTGTTTTATTCATAACCTTTTTTTAATTTTTTTGTTGATTTTCATAAATTCAAATTTGATTTCAACAAAAAGTTCCAATTCTAAAATAAAAATATATTTTTAAAATTTTTGTACGGGGTAAAAAGTTCAATAAATTATGTGTATTTTCCACCCATCTTTCATCTATTGGGGGAAATCGAAATCAAATTTAAAGGTATCCGTTGGAAATGTTTTGTTTTGATTTTATTATTGAATATATAATTGTATAATTCGTTTCCGGTACATGTACCACATTAAATAATATATACATTTATAAATCAGACAAGCGAAACGAAGAGTAAGAATTTAAAAATATTAATGGATACGACTCTATTGCTGCCATATCACAACCGTGGTCAATTATGCGATCGGATATGAATTATCAGTATACTGTTACGAATTGTTTAATTTTTCATCGCCAACAATATTTATAACAGTATACGAGTGTATACTTAACGTAGTGTTCGGAGCTGTGCGTTTTTTCGACTTAAAAAAAAGTAATAATAATGCACCCGAAAACGATTAGTGTTCCGTAAAAGTGTCACGAAAAATTAATATTTTGTCACAGTGTCCAAAGATAATACGTGTACATCCTGCAGACTTACGGTATATGCCGTACAAATACGATACATCGTATTGTGTTGCCGCATAATGTGTATGCGTTTGCAACGTAATATAACTCGCAACTACGATGATGATAATGATAATAATAATAATGATAACATAACGCGATAATGTGGCACAAAATGCACGGCGATGGTTATGCATAATTGACCGTAGTCGCCGCCGCCTAATGGGTAACGAAAATTGCCGATTGGGAAAAAAAAAACACCTGGCCATTGTTTGCGATCCGTTTGGATACGGTCTATTAGCAGTGGCGACGATGGGTTTGCGGAGCGAAGTATTCTTTCGATACATAATATTATAATATTATAATATATATACACGCGCACACGTACTATATTTCACGTCTTACACACGGCACACAATGGGCACACGGTTCCTATTAAAAAAATAATAATAATAATAATAAAACTCCCGGTACTCGGTATGATATTTTTCATTTACTTATTATCATTGTTATTGCGTTTTTGTTTGTTTTTTATTTTATTACTTTTTATTTTTTTATTTTTTTGCATAATTTTCGACACCTGGCGCTCGCCAGTCATCACCGTTGGTCGTAACTGCTCAACATCATCACGTGATAACGGTATCGAACTGTTTAACAATGTAAACGAACACCACACGAGCTGCTGTTGAATTTTTGCTTCGTTCAATCGTGTATTATACATAATAATCGAACGAAACTGGAGTGGAACGTCGTCGAATAGAAAGGCGAGGGGGAAAAAAGTCAAATGCCGGTTTTTACTGTAAAGTATTTTATATAGGTACTGTTCTCTGGGTACAGGTTTTTGGAACATATTTGTGAACAGAATTATTTTGTATTTGTTTTTATTTTCATTCGCCAAAATCGTCTACAGTTGATTTATTTGTATTCCACTTTATTTCAGAACGTCTAATGACCGATTTAAATTACCTTCGATTAACTCTCAAAGCGTCGCGTACGAACAAATAGTCTACGAATTATTTAAATTGTTTCGCCATTTTGATTCTTTTCGTGAAATATTTTCTCGCGCGCAAATATGTTTCACGTAAAAACGTAAAATCTTCACTCCGCACAGATTTCCCGGAATGATGTACTGATACGCAGAGGTGGAACTAGGAATTTTTACGCCCGGGGAAAATGTTAAAATTACGCCCAACCATAGACAAATAATAATAAATAATCAAATACTCTTCTCGAGAATTTTTTCCTAATAAATAATATACAATCATACTTATTGAGTTTTAACCTAATATCAGTATTTAACAAAGTGAAAAATATTAATATTTAGTTGTTAATAATTACAAAAATGACACCCTCTAAAATTTTACACATAGGGATAATCCCCATCTTCTACCCTCTAGTTCCGTGCCTGCTGATACGTATATCAATTTAGTTATTTCGTTTATAGTCTTATGGTTTGTCACATTTTCTTTATTATTTTAGATTGTTTTATACAATTAAGAACAATGTAATAACATGAATTTACAACTATTAGACGACCTATTCTTAATGTTGTTCTTACGTTTTTTGGGACCATGTACGAAGGATAAACCTCGATTTTCTGTAAAGACTGACTAAAATTTTGTCACCTTCAAAAAAAAAATTATTAAAATTACTCCAGTGTATTAACATATTTATTCTCATTCTTACAGGGTATGGAGGATATAGAATCTCTGAAAAAGAAAAAAAATTAAACAATAATAATAGTTTATTATTTTCTGCCCAAAGTGTTCATTTAAGTTGTTTGAGTTAGTAAGACAGCATCGCTATGGATCAAATTATATGAATTTATTAAATCCATAAGTCATTAATTAAAATGATTTGTATGGCGGTACCGGACTCATTACATCAGATTGTTTGTTATTTGTCTAATTGTAGTGTTATTGATTCTATGCAATCGTAGATTATTGATTAAATCTTTTTTTTCTTTTTTTTTTTAATTTTTTGTTACAAACATTTGTTTTGGTTACTCGAATTTATATTGTCCAAAGAATATGTGAATTAACTTTCAAAAATTATTTATGATATATTCGAATTCATTGTTTTTGTATTCCTAACATACTATCTTCACAGTTTTTATCGTAATAACCATTGATTAGAAAATAATAGAGAGTACAATAATAATTTCCTCAATTGTTCTTGTCAAATAATTTTTATCTCTGTAAGAACATAATCATTAATAACACATATTATTAAAGTGTTCATAAACAATGTTAACCGTTTTCATGTATTTAGGCTGTATTGTAATCAATATTAAATATTAAATCAAATGAATTGTTGTTACTACGATATCGATTTCATTATATCATTTCAAAATCAAGTTATGATTAATGACACAAAATTATTTCCAACAACACCATAATATGTCAAGAAACTTATTTAATGAGGGTAGTTTGGACACCCGTAAAAAATCAAACACTGATTAATTGAAAATAATACTAAACTAATTATAGGGTACAAAAAAAATGTAAGAGTCGGTACCAATGATATTTCCATTATAAAATGTCTTTTAAATCTTTTAAACAATTCATACATATCTATTTACAATTATATGTCTTTATTTTTTATTAGGATAAATTATGAACATGGAAAATTCAACTTTCAAGTAGTATAATATATCGATAAACTGTTACCTTTTTTGCGAAAACAAAGATTTTTAAACTACATAGTTACAGTTACAGACATGTATAAAATTATTGTATATTAATACAAAAAGATAACAATGTAACGATGTTGTTTTAATTATTCGTTATAATAAATAACAGTATGTATTAGCAGAGCAGGTAAGGAATTCGGAATAATAAAATGTTCGATAAAATTTAAAATACCTTATGTTTAAGAAGAGGAACTTTTTACTTTTTTCGGTGATTTCCGGGTTTTGAAATGTTTATAAATGAAAAGAGGAATGGGCCGAAGGATTCATATTGGTACGGAGGAGATATTTTCGTCATCGCTTCCCGTATCCAAAGACAAGCGTAACAAAATTAACAGTAATAATAAATGTTGTCGGTGAAATATTCATCGCGGTCGCAAAACCTGCTGGAAACCGTGGTGCGCCCCGGCCGGTCGGTCGGTCGATCGGTCAGCGCGAAAACCTCCCGTCGCCCCCGAGAAGCGAATTAATCGCCTCTCGAGGAACCGTTATTCGCACACATCGGGCGATTTGCCAGCGACGTGTTTTCCGCGCGCCCACGGTTTCCGTTCACCTTCCACGCCCCATTTTTTTTTTTTTTTTTACTTCCTGTCGGCGACGAGCAGATTTTATTATTGAACTCGTAT